ACCTCATCTCAGAGATATAGACAGATATTGAAGAAGTCCACTGAGAAGTCTGGAGGAAAAAAAAGCATCCTGTTCTTACACCTTAATCTAATTTCGAGTATTTATCCAATTCATTTTCTTTCCTTATGTAGGAGGTTTGCTTCCGGTATAAACTCTGGATTATTCTATCCTATCCAAACATATCAAGCTTACCTAGTAGTTCAAATATTTCTTCGTGACGTAGTATCAAACGCTTTTGCATCGTCTATAAAAGACTTTCCGCAAAGAAAACTGACGAAATAATCTATTATGTGAGTGCGAGGAAAATAAAGTGATAAATATATATATATATAAATAAATAAATAAAGGAAAATAAAGTGGTTACATGAATTATCTGAAGCAGAATCCTTTCCTATAATTTTTTGTTGCAATCTTTCGACCCTGGGGTTCATCAACATTAGCATGTCAACAGGTGGTGCCAAATTAAGTTTTTGTTAATATTCTAATTGGAATTGGAAGCATCAAATAAAATAGATTTTAACAGATCTGGCACCAGTTTAATGGTCTGACCATTATATGATATTCCCCGGTTTAAAAATCTGTTTATTGGATTATACCGTAAATTTTTTCTTAGGCTTCCTGCCTGATGAGCCAAACTGGTGAATCTATAGTAGTGAATACGCAACTATTTTACATTTTAATTTGAATTTATATGATATTATTTTTTTAAATATTTTACAGTGCGACACGGAAAATTCTGTTTCGCGACTTAAAATTTTTATCTCATCATCGGGCAATGTTCAGTAAATATTTGATGAAAATGATTTACATTTGAAAATAGAAAATATGTTTGCTTATTAAAAATGGTGGGGGGGAGGGGATCCAGATTTTAAAATCCTATTAGTATGTCTCATTTAACTAATCAAAATGGAAATCATTTTCATCAAAAGTTACCGAACATTGCCTGATGACGAGATAAAAAAATTTTTAGTCTCGAAACAGAATTTTCCGTGTCGCAATGTAAAACATTTTTTAATTAATCATTAAAATATTATGCTCCGCGTTTGTATTGAGCAGTTTTGTAAAAATAAGTAAATACCTGAGAACTGGATTCTTAAACTGTTTGTTCTTTTTTTTTCTCTCTCTATATATATATATATATATATATATATATATATATATACGTTGGTGCAAAAATAATGACGTAATAATGTCGTTTTTGGACGTATTTTTTAACGTCAAAAAACGACATCATTTTTTGCACCAACCTAACGTATGTATTGTTGTTGTTTTTTATTGGGACTTTTTTTCTTATTACTATAAAAAGCTATTGGACCTTTCCTGTAAATTCAGCCCAGATATATGTAAAGTTACTTATTGCAAATATTAATTCATCCAAATAAATTATAAATTTTAAATAAAAATTTGTTCTTTTTATTAATAAAAAGAAACAAATTTCTTTTTATTTTTCGAATTATAAATTTAAAATCGAAATTTGTTTAGATTGCCTCGCAACAACTCAGAATTAAAAATTAGCAAAAATAATGGAGTTATTCACATTTCGTAAGTGCAGATAGTGTTCGGGGTACTTACAAGAATTTTTTTACAATTTAAAATAAAAATCCTTTTTTTTTTAGCTTGTTTATCGGGGTGAACATGACCCCACATTTAGAAATAGCGCACCAGAGTTGCCTACATTTGGGGCGATCGCAAGGTTGATCCTACCATAGTGAAATGGAAGGGCCTAACTCTGGCAGAATTTGGTGTGGATTTTGGTAAATATAAATTCTTTTAATTTGGGGGTGAATTAATATTTTGAGGTAAATTGACGGAAACGATCGAAGTTATTTTTAGTGGTTACGCAGGTTTGGGTTGACATTTTTTTCTTTTTCTGTTATAATGAGCGGCCTGAATTCATGTTGTAAAGGAGAAAGAAGTGTCACACGACAAATAATCGGGCAGTTATCCTCATTTTTTAATCGGGGAAACCATTGCTAAAGCCGAAGAGTGCTGTTATCAAATTGACCACGACACATTTCAGCTACAGGAGTGTTCAAACCCCCACCCACCCTGGTGGGAAAAAAAGTGGATAATAGTTTGATTACTGTCGTAGCCGAGTGATTAGAACGTTGGCATTCTGACCATAAGACCCGGGTTCGAATCTCACCATAGTCGATTTGTCAGGAAGGATGTTATCGGACTGGAGGGGTTGAGATTCCAGCGTGCGCCACCTTTGGAAAGTACCTGAAAACCATACAACAGGTTGACGGTTGATTTAAATTGGGTCGACAGAACCCTTGGTCGCCGTTACTACCTGTGCTAGCACGAAGTTACAAGTCATCGTGGCGTGCTGGCCTTGTTCAAATTGTTGCTGACGCTAGATAACACGCTCTTTCCCAGAAACCGTAACTAAGGTCTATTCAGCATAGCTGCAGTATAAACCAAAAGTGGGCTCTGTGGGTTTTGAATAAAAACAAATCCTGCGCAAGCGTCTGCAATAGGGATTGGCTAGCCGCCTTATAGACTGGTATTCACGAATATGAGAGGAGTGGCCAGCTATACTGTCGGGAGACATTTTTCCTTAGGACTTCTCGCTTGATATTAATTCCATTGTTAAAGAAAATAAAACATGTGGACTAAACATCAATGGTTAACGGCTCGGATTGAGGAATCGGAGAGCCGAGTTCGAATTCCATCGGAGTTCATTGCATTCACTTACGTGCATGCATTCATACCTTGGGAAATGTATAAAACTATTTCTTCTTCCCTCACCTATAGGTAAAATAGCAGGACTGGATTCTATAGCCTTGGGTGGAAACGAGTCTATGAAAAGGTAACTCTGAATTCAAACCCGCCTGCTGCCTTGTAGGTCCTACTTTCAAAAGCTAGAAGAACGAAGCTTCAAAAATAAATCCATCTCTGAGAGAAAGGACGAGGTTACCTCAACATCTCCGGCGCAAAAGGAACCCACGAGCCATTGCACTATTCTGCCCATCATAGTGAGATGCAGGGAAGTGGTGACCACAGTGGCGGCGCAAAATGCTCTAACCGAAGAAAATCAATGAATAAATAAAATAAACATGATATGGATGTCAACTCAAATATGCGTCGTCACTAAAAATAACTCCATATAGTAAATGTCTGTGTGTGATGAATGAATGTTCATTTAGCTGTTGAATGTCTACGCTGCATAGAATATAGTTTATTTATTTCGACTAGTAATATTAGTATTTATGCTCTAACTCTTGGTATAAAGCACTATACATGAAAACTGCTCGCCTTAAAATCGTTATCTTCCATAATTACCCTGATCAACTGATTTAGGCCAAAATGCAATATTTGTTTTTGTTATATATTATTATAAACATTATATTTTGTTAAGTATACCTATTTAAGTAGGTAACACTGTTTTTTTTTTAGTTTTTTTTAAACAGTGAAATTCTCAGCTACCGGCCTATGTAATCAGAAGTCTTAAAGTGTATGTGCCTCTCAGCGAAACTTTTTACCTTGAGAACCTACCCTTTAAGATAAGAGCACTTAACCATTTTGACGCTGGAGACTTCACAGCAAACTAAGTCTTTATTCTTTTCTTTTTTTTTTTTTTTTAAGTAAAGCGGGTCTATTGTTGAGAACTTTCGAAGCCTACATATGCTATATTTAAAAACGAGTTGAATTTTGTAAGTATCGGTAAAAAAAAAAATACCACTCATTTAATGTGATGCGTTGAATTTAAAATTTAGAATTAAAACAATTTCACGGTACTTTTTGGCGGGGGTGGAGTGTCTGGAAAAAAAATCAAAATCAAAATGACTCGTTTCTAAACTTACCTCTTGCTAAATAATCGACATTATAAAAACTATGATAAAAAGACGAAATAAAATGTCAAGTCACGCGAATGCCATGCAATTCGTGACGTCAGACTAACGCATGCGCATACAAGGGGGTGCGCTGAAGTTGCGAATGCATTTGTTTAAAGATTAAGAAAGCGAAATACATGCATGCAAGATGCAAAACAACCACAATTTTTTTTTTCTAAATAACTAATCTAGTGCATTTTCTGAACATTTACAATCTATATAATAAATGCGAATGTCAGTGTGTCACACTTTTTCAATTAAAGAGACAACTTCCTAACTTTCACTAGCTCATATTACAGAAATTTTGGATTCTCAAGTTTTCATTACTGCAATTGTTTTCGGCGATTTTTTGCGATGATTTTTTTTTTTGTACGATAACAATTCTTATAACTTGGAAATAAATTTGGGAATAATCGAAATTGCGAAATCCAGCGAAAGCCATCCATGAAATATAAATAATTATTTTTACGGAAAGTAAGGACCTACGTACATCAAACTGTCCTTAAATTAAATAATTATCCTTGAATTTTTAAAAGGTAAGCTTAAATATTAATGCAGTACTTAAATGCAGCGATCAATTTTGAGTTATGTAACTTTTTGTTGCCTATTGCAGTATGCTACGCAAAAAGAAATCTTCTCCAAAAAGGACCAGATTGCTATCAAAAGAGCCAAGGCGGCAGCGAGTAAAAGAAAATCCCGTGCAAATGAAAACCTAGATCAAACGGCAGCCAGGAGAGCTTCCAATGCTGAGGATATGCAAAGACTTAAGAGGACTCTAAGCCCAATCAAGAGCCCTCCACAAGAGCTAGTTTAAATGCATCCCGATAGGAGTGGGGTTAGCTAGTGATAAATATTTTACTTTAATCCATAAAAACTAAAATTTGCTTGGTTGATTCATTTTTTTACAGTCTATCAACCCTTTGCACCTTATTTAAAGTAAGAAAATATTTCTAGATTGTAAGATTTTTTTTTTTTTTAGATAATAATTACTTAGTGATATAATCTTACTAATTAACCTATGGCTGGGAGAGAGGAGGTGAACATATGTGTTCCCTAAGGGTATTTGCATGTAACTGAATATAACGAACAAAACTGAAATTCGAACTCGGCTCTCGGATTAACGATTCCGAGCTATTATCCATTACATCATATGCAAATCCAAGCTTACAGCATCTGGTAATCAAAAAGCGGCCACCCATCTAGGGAATGACCACGCCCAATGTTGCTTAACTTCGGTGATCGTACGGAAACCGGTGTTTCAAAATGATTTGGCCTCAAGCCGATTTATGATTGACTTATTCATACGAGTCAAGGTAGACATAAAGTGGGGGTCATTTTCCTATTGTCATTAAGTACTAAAGTCATCCCCCATAATTACTACATATAGGCACCATGCGTGATGCACGCTTGGGCGATCATGTCTCTTTTCGATTCATGACCGACTTATTCATATACGATTCAAGGGGACATAAAGAGAGGGATCGGTTTTCTATTGTCATTAAGTACTAAAGTGATCACCCAAGAATTACTACATGTTAATATCCTTCCTTAGGTGCAATGCGTGAGGCACACTTGGGTGACCATGTCTCTTTTCGATTCACGACTGACATTCATATACGATTCAAGGGGACATAAAGAGGGGGGTCGGTTTCAATCATAACCCAGTGGATAAAGATGTTGAGGACGGTGAATAAAGACGCTGGTTAGATCCAGTGACAAGATCCAGAGAGTTGTGAGTTCAATACCAGGCCACAGCAGTGGTGAACAAGAACTTGGGGGAATTGAGTTAAGGGGGGGTGGCGGACTGAGACATCCTAGAGAGGCATGGCACGTGGAACTAGAACAGTCTGCCCCGGTGGACGAAATAAAAAAGGTTCGGTTCGAAATTCCGATCACCTGAAGATGGCCAAAGCGTACAACGGCCGAAACGCTGTGAATATGCCAATGAAGATGTCCGAATGATGTAAATAATGCAAGTAATCATAATACCTCATCTCAAAGATATAGACAGATATAGAGGAAAGTTTCTCAAAGAGGAACTCAGATGATACATTTTTATAAGTGAAAATTTAGGGGTTGCAAGATACTAGTGATCATACCTTACACGAGTATATATGGTACTTTCTCCGGACATTATCTTTTTGATTTAGTTATTCATTATATTAAATTTATCGGTCTATATCTATACAAGTTTTGGGTTCCCCTACTGCCTGGTATTAAAACTCACAACTCTGAGTTTCATCACTGGATTTAACGAACGTCTTTATCCACTCGGCCATGCGTCCTGGAGGACATCTGTGTATGAATTTTGGGACTTATAAACCTAAATTAACCAGAGTTAAAGGGAAATAACTGAGACATCCGGAAGAGGCGTGGGACGTGGAACTAGAACAATCTGCCTCCTGGGTACGAAATAAAAGGTCAGGTTCGAAATTCCCATCGCCTGAAGAAGGCCAGAGCGTACAATGACCGAAACGGTGTGAATATGGCAATGAAGATGAGGATGAGAGTCCGAATAATGTAAATAATGTAATTTTAATTTATATTTATTTAAAACAAAATTTTTTTTTTGATATTCTGAGTTTAAAACTGGGGGAAAAATCGATGAGTTTATTGTTGACAAGGATTCAGACTTTGTAAACACTGACAATAGTCGCAGTTTATTACAAATTCTTCCTTGATATATTTTGCATCATTCAGCAATTCCATTCCGTTTTCAGAGAAGCAACTAGATGTTCATGATTCTGTCTGATTGCCTGAACAGCAATCTACCAAAATATTACGACAGCTAGCCACTCTTATCCGAGGATACCGTCTACAAGGGCAGCAAACCAATCGCCTGCTCAGGTACATTTGTGTCTGTTCAACACCTACAGAGCCGACCTGTGATTTATACTGCAACTATGCTGAGCGGACCTTAGATACAGTTTCAGGGGGCGGGGTAGCGTATTATCTGAACTGATCAACAGTCTCAAAAAAGGCTAGTACCCTAAAAACCTCGGCCACGATTAGCACAACTATCGATGGGCCCCCAAAATACTCTGTCTACCCAATTTCACTCAAGTCTTAGGTCTACCCGTGGTAAGCTTTTCAAGAAATTTCGAAAGTGGTCGCCTTCCAAGACAGATAACATTAAGTCAACTTCCTGATAGATCGATCACGTTGAAATTCGAACCCGGGTCTCATATTTGGAAAGCCAACGTCTTAACCAAATATAACAGGATATATAGCTCACAAATTAAAAGAAAATTTTAATTACTTTAAGCCGTTCAAATTTAATGGCCAAAGAAAATGTTTGTTTCTATATACTGTGTCCATTCAAGATGAGATCGATTATAGCTCTCCACAACTTCCTATATTTGTCTTTTTACTATCCCTCCCATTCTCTGTTCTGTCATCAATTTGCACAAGTATAGTTGGTTAATCGCCGATTCTCCCGTCTTCAGTATGTCTTGTGAGTGTCAAATTTTCATGCCGTCTTTCCTCATTATATCTGCTAGACATTTTTAATTTCTAGTATAAGTGACCATTTCGTTTCTATTTTCCTTAAAACTTCGTCATTGACCCTCCCCAATAATGATCTGACAGGCCCAAAATAATAAGATTTATTTATTAACTGTTGATTTGTCTTGTATAAGGCCACACTAAGGTAGTAACCGTAAGAGTCAAATTTATCGTGTTATATGAGCTTGTTAGCCATAACGCTATAGTAGGAACACCCTCCAACACACACACATATATATATATATATATATGCAACTTCCCATTTTCCATCGAAACAAAAATCTATCTATATATAAAACAGAGGATGCGTGTCTGTGTGATACCTTTTCACTCAAGGACAATCCAAGCGATTTTGAATAAACTTGGCACATTCATTGTAAAATCTAAGAGATAGGTTCTTAGCGTAAAAACTCGATAATTTAAAAAAAAATCACTAATCGATAAAGCCGATCAAAAACCACGAAAAATCAATTTCAACACAAATTTTAAACTAAAAACTCCCTCAATTTTCAAGCAATCTAATACAAACTTCACTCTATTGTAACCAACAATAACTTGATTGTTTATCAGTCATTTAACTTGATAATTGTGTCCAGCCATATAAACACGCGTAAATAACGAAAAATTATTTTTCGTTGATCTTTCAACCAATTTTCATCAAGCTTAACAATTGCTTTATAAATGTATCCTCTTTTACATCCCTGCTAGCACCCTGGTAAACTGAATATCAAAAACTCCAAAATAATTATGGTCTGCAGTAGGTCTTCATGTTGCCTGTTTCATCCTCGGCTAACTTCGATTGAATAAATACAGATTACTTCTGTTATATCAGTAAATGCATTAATGCAAAATATTTTTTTAATGAAAGTACTTTAAAGTAATTGAAGAAGATATACTCTGTTACATCTAAGCATGATGCTGTTTTTGCTCCATTCGAATTGAACGCTTTTTTCTGACCGACCAGCTGACTATGGCTGCTAGTTATCAAGAAAAACAAAAGAGAACTTATAAATAGATAATGGTTAGATGACGATCACTGTTCTAAAAATATTTTAAATAGTTTTCTTAAAATGAAAGATGTATTTTATGAAATAAAAAGCAAGGTAATGCGTCTCAAAATTTATCTTAATTAGTCTTTCCTCCTCAGGAACTCTACTGCATAAATTTAAGCATGATATTAGACTAGCAACTAGGTCTCAACGTTTTACTGTAGAACTAGCTAGCTACAACCGTGTGTTCTATTCTAATAGTTTATTTTCTCGCCTGTGAAACTCCCTCCAGATTTCTTGCTTCCCTGACAACTAAAATCTGCAAAGATTCAAGTCCCGCACCAATTACCATCCTTTGTCTACTAGTCCTTTTTCTCACTTTACTATTCCCCTGTAAACGCTGTCTCCTACTGACATTATCGCCTTGCTTGGAGTGAAATAATGAAAAAAAATGCATCTTAATTTAAAAATGCCTTCTAATTTCTCATGGGGAGATAACTCGTATAATCTAATCTCGCTTTCAAATTTTAGTAGAATTACTGAATATAAAGTTAGACACGAAAGCCATCAATAAATTTAAACGAAGGCGTTACAAAAAAAAAGGTTTTAAAATATCATTCGAAAACATTCCCACAACAAAATGCCGAAATACAACAATAACAGCGAAAATGTGTTGTTTTTTTTTGATTAATTGTATATTTTAATCCAAAGAAAAATAACATGAAAATTGCATTTAAATATGAAACAACAGATAAAAAGAAAAATACATGCAAAATTGTTGATCAAGAACATTTTACCGACTTTTACCAAAACAACAATAAATGCAGAAATTAAACAAATACAAACAAATAGCTGTAAAATTAAATTCAATTCTTTTCCACATGCAATACAAACCACACTAACAATGTACGTCAACATGCTTCTATAGATACCAGGAAAGAAAAAACGTGTTACTTATATTTACTTACATATAATTTTTTTTAAAACTACCATGGTCGTAAGGAAAAGGAACGACCTAAAATGTAAACTATGAACTGGCTACGTCGAAATCGAGCAAATTTAAACAGCTGCGAAATGTCCTAACAGAAGACAGAAAACATGGCGCCGAACTTCGTAGGTGCATTGGAATAGCATGAAACGCTTCTAAAAGCTAAGCAAAGTATTAAGAAACAAGAAAATTTCGTTAGAATCAAATTAAAAAAAAAAAAAAAGGAGTACTGAAGTGTTATGTAATATTAGACCTCATACATGGCAGTGAATTAGAAATCCTACCAGGGTTCATTATAGGCGGACACGATCTTAACAATATTAAACATGCAGATGACTCAGAGTTGATCGCTGTCACAGAAAGTCAATTACAGGAACACCTCCAGAAGATAATCTTCTGGATAAAAACAAATTCTGATAGTGCTGATTTTTTTTTTCTCTTTATACTTTTAAAGATTTTGCAATCAAGAAAATACACTTATCAGCTGGTTAAAAGAAAAATATCAAACCAAGTGCTGATAGCAGACACAGAAAGGAAACTACAAGAACATCTAATGAGGTAGCGAAGGAAAGCGTGAAGAAAGGACTAATCATCAAGAGGAAGAAGGTAGAATGATTGCTTGTCAGCAAAATAAAGAGGCCAACATAGGAATTACATATTGGGTATCAGAATCAGGTCCGAAAAACTTAAATATCTGAGAAGTGTTTTAACAGAGGATGGAAAAATTTGAGACCGAAATCCGAATGCACTGGAATAGCCAAAGACACTTCCAAAAGATCAGCAACGTATTTTTTTAAGGATACCACCCGAAACAGGCAAAGGAGAGCGAGAGAAAGAGTAAAGAGGGGGTGTTTGGGGAAAGGATAAAGAGAAAGATAGGGGTCAAGATCAAGGCATCAGATTGACATTACCTTTGATTATTTGAAGATTATATCTATCAGGGAAGTAAGAGGAAGGGAGTTCGACTGTTGGGAAGTGCAAGAGAAAAAGCGGCTACATTAACTGTTTCGACAGTGAAAGGGTGGCATGAGATGCCAACCTTGTATCACGCTTAAATTAATGTAGTTGGGGTACCAGTGAAAGTATCTCGTCAGAGCAGTTGCCATGAAAATACTTGTAGAAAAGACAGAGGGAAGCCACAGCACGTCTGTGGGAAGAAACAATAAGGTCATCATAGCTGATATTGATAATAAATGCTATATATATATATATATATATATATATATATATATATATATATATATATATATAATTTATTGTTATACTTATGTAGACAACTATTTAAGTAAATGTTCTGTTTATAATAAGCTGTATTAACAAGATTTACCTGCTTGAACGTCCAAGAAATGTCATAGAAAATATGCATCCTCCGACAAGAATCGAACCTGTATCCTACATCCTCATATAGCCAGACGAGTTATACCATTTAGCTACAGAGGAAGCATCTAGTTAGCAAAGTCGAATTACTGATTTTCTCGGCCGTTCAGACAGGTAAATGTTGTTAATACTGTTTATTATAAACAGAGCATTTACTTAAATATAAATAAATAACGTAATAGAATATATTAAAATAATTGTCGAACTTGTTCCATTTCCTAGTGTGTGATATATATATATATATATATATATATATATAGGAACCTGCAAGATTATCGGTCCTTACCTGGCATCGCGGCTTCAATCAGTCACCCGCCGCTGTAACATTGCTTCCCCGTGATTTTTCTATAAACACTGTCATTGCAATTGTTCTGACGAGCTGTCCTCTTTTTTAGCTCGACTCCCCGAATTTAATCGCAGTACTAGATATGCAGTTAGGTCTCATCAATTTGAAATTTTTTAGTGCGGGCCTAAGTTCTATGTTAACGGTTTCTTCTCTCGCACTTCTCGCCTATGGAACTCTCTTCCGGCTTCTTGCTTTCCCGCCAACTACGATCTTCAAAAAGTTAAAACGTTAATCACCATCTTCTGTTTGCGTGAATCCTTGTCTTTTAATATCATCTCCCTTTCTTCAAATTCTTTCATTCTAAGTAACCCCCTTGTGTCTTAGCATCTCGTATGGAATGAAACCGGACTCTCGCGTCGCAGACGACAAATGACGGCTCAATAAATAAAGAGGTGCTCAACTTCTACGGACATGTATGTGTCTCCCGAAATCTGGAGGTGTTTTGCAAACTTCTAGATAGCTGGAACTCTCTCTCTCTCATATATATATATATATATATATATATATATATAAGCTGCAAACATTTTTGGTTATGACGTGAATGTTTTAAAGATATATTATACTTTATTTTCCATATTTCTTGGTTTTCGGTAAACGTGTTTCGAGTCTTATGACCTTCATCAGGCGAAGAATGCTCATTTCCACATTATTTAAAGGAATTAATTTTTTTCTTGCGTTTTCTTTTGTTTAACTATTGTGTTTTGCGTGTGGCAGTAATCCAAATTAATCTGGGACTGACGGAAAAAATCTTTTCCACTAGTCAGTCACTTAAGTTCCAGACGTGATACACATTTGGGAGATCAGATCTCTTTCAATTCATGACTTACTAGGCAGAAGGTTTTCCCGCAGTAGGTTGTCGTTTCTTTCTGTGGCAGATTGGTTGCCAACCAAAGATATAGGACCCAATCTTTCCTGCTATTCGACCCATACTTGAGGGGGAGATGAAAGGGATTTTTATCTTTCCTAAGGGTATTTACGCGTAAGTGAATGTAACAACCCCGACTGGAATTCGAACTTGGCTTTCTTATTTCTGATCCGATATCCATTATAACATAACCCGCAACACTATATATATATGATATTTTGGGGGTTTTTTTAACCTTGCACGACCAATACCCGCCATTCCACGCCTATTGTAGTGAACGACCGTCATTGATTACTGCTGCCATATATGGACAGGACCTACCGAGTCTTCACTTTGCAATCGCGATAGAGTTCAAAAGCGTATCCGTGTCCTTGTGGGTGATGAATTATTTTCCACCCTCCAACACCTTTACCACATTTCAAAATGTCACAAGCTCTATCACTATTTCCATGGAAATTGTTCAGACGAACGACTTTCCTTAGTCCCAGCCGTTCTAACCTTCACGGCTAAGACCCGTCGTGCCACGCCCATTGTAGCAAACCACCCTCATTCCCTTTGTATTCCACTGGTGAGATGTAAGTTCCACTCGAGAATCGATTCCGAACAGGATGCTTCACTGATCACTACAATCTTAACCTGTTCAAGTCTATTGTTAACCGTTATCTCCTAGACATATCCCCATAAACTGTGCCTCTTACTCTGTAACTCTCTACCTCGAGTGGCCCCTGGGCCTTATACAGGGCCAACCTTACTGTAAAAAGTTCCCACAAATTCCCATAGACTGAGACTCTTATTCTGTAACGCTCTATCCGGGGTAGCTTTTGGGTCTTGAATAGAGAGACCATTTTAAAAAAAATAAATAAAATTATTCTAAAAAAAAAAAAATAAATAAAAAATAAAGGGGTATGGTCAGAAATTTCACCCTGACGTTAGCAGCAGTGATCGAAGTCTTTCTACAACCAACCGTAAAATGAGGGTTTTAGTCGTATGCTGTATCGGACTACGATTCTCTAGCACTTAGGAATATAATTCAAAAAATATCGCTGGTTTTATTTTAGACACTGTGAGATGAAAATAAATATTGAAAACTCCCAGCGAGGAAAAAATAAGAGTAAAGAAAAAAAATATATAAACCTTTTTTTTTTTTTTTACAGAATGCAGGAAATGAGGAAAGCAGAAGAATCGATCGTTAGTCTGAAGAAATCAACTGGACTAGTCTCAAAACGAAAAAAAAAAAAACTCGTGTGTTCTTTCCTGGTATCAAAAGAGAAGACGTGTGTGTAACGAAAGTTTCTACGTGTTCTTGAAAGAAAGAAAAAGAAAGAAAAAAAAACATGGTTGAAGAAACACAAAGGGAGATAAACAAAATTGGAAACCCTACCTTCCGACACAATGTGGCCACGTGGTGGTTGGGTCGTCTGCTCTTCTGAGTTCAGAGACAAAAACATGCGAAACGACACTATAATAACAACGAGCGTTTCAAGTTCGAATAATCATTTATTTAAATATTTGCACAGTCCCGGCCTTTGTTTATTAATAATTTGTCAGTTAAATATTGTTAGTACGGTTTAATAAGTGACTGATTTTGCTAAGTTTTTGTTTTTGTTAAAATAAATAAACATAAAAAAAAGTTAAGTGTATAAATTTGCTACAGCCAATCTACTCGCGACAAAAAGCAGGTGTAAGCGTTAAAATTCTTGATAAAAAGTTACTTTTTTTTCACATTTTACAAAAACGGGGAACTTTCAATAACCAAAAATAAACCGGCCAAAATTAAAGGTTTCAATTTTAGGTAGGCAATTATGTTTAATATGTGTAGTTGATTGCTATTATCTAAGGTTTTATTTTACCGAGAAAAAAAACCGTCAACCAGTTATTAATGGAGTTAACACTTTTAAGGCAAACAGAAAATTAAGAAATAGAAAATTAAAAAATACAAAATAAAGAAATAGAGAATTAAATCTAAAAAAAAATAAAAAATAAAATAAAATTTTAAAAACTTATCATCCCGATTCAAAGTTTCACAGTAATGGTGTCTGCACGTCAAGGTGTTAAAATAGTAAATTTAATTTACTTACAGATAAACATATTTTAAAATTATTCTTTCTTCAAAACGTTATACAATGAATTAATCTAATTCTAAATTACACAGTAAATATATTGCACACAAGAATGCGGTGAAAAGCTCTTGAGCAGAACAAGAAGAATTAAAAAAATATATATTTTGATGTTTGGACTAGGTTTTAAATAATAGGTTGATCTGAGGATTTTTCAAAACAACCTTATGTGTGCGTGGTAAGGTTAGGTCACAAATGTTTTCCGTATTTTATCATTAGAATTGGTTTCAAAATCTGATTTACTTAAGACTGAACCTAATAGAGAGTATCTAGCAACTGCCCCACGCAGTGATATGTGGCACAAGGCCGAATTTAATGTGGGGTTCCCGAGCCCGTAGACTCGGCCAAAAAATCTCCGTAGACCGCGCATAAACGGGATCGGGTCTGACTACCTCCCCGAACGAGAGACTGCCTTTCGACATAGCTTCGTCCGAGTTCCTCTCTGCTCGGAGGCAGAGATTTCGACAACATAGCTGAAAAGATTTCAGCTAGAGCGAACCTAATATATAACATTTATATAAAAGATTCCATCAAGAAAAAAAAATTATAAGGTTCTAGTTTTTTTCAATAATTAAATAAAAACTTTTGCACATACGAAAGGCGGATCAAGGAAGAATTACAGACACGATAGAAAATCAATACGCTTGTATTTATCTCAAGTTTTATCTGTAATTTTTACTGAATAATATTTACTTCATATTGAGCAAGGGGTTAAGTGCATTGACGAGGGAGAAAAGTATAGACGTTTTTTTTTTGTTATCACTTGATGCTAAGAAAGGCAAGAGACAGAACACTAAAAGAACAAGAATTAAGAAGACAGAAGATAACGGTTGATATTGTATTTAAATCTTTGAAGATCAAAGTCACGAGAAAACAGAGACCGAAAGTGAGATCCATAAGCGAGACGTGCGTGAGAAGAAACTGCTAACATAGAACTTACGGCTACATCTAACAATGTCTAAAAAAAAAAAATCCTACGTTATATATATATATATATATATATATATATATTTATATTAAGAAATGGACAAATTATTTATTAAAGACATTTTTATGTATCTATAAATAACAACGTTAAACATAAAAATGTCTTTAATAAATATATATATATATATATGTGTGTGTGTATTACAAAAATAAAACCTAAGTTACCCATTTAGATGTCCATTTCGTACCAGGGAGAATCTACCGTAGACAAAATGCTCATCTGAGTAGGGTAATTTGGGTTTTATTTTTGTAATTCAGTTATATGCTCTACAATAAATATATTGAGCTCTCTTTTGTGGATAAGTTTTCATATTGTAGATTATTATGATCTACTTGGATAACTTATCCATGGATTTTATATATGTATTAATCAATTCACGCCAAGCAAGGCGATAAAACCACTAAGATTCAAGCATCTACTGGAAAAGAAAGAGAAGGTAAGGACTTTGGAACGAATCGGAAACCTAATCCTAAATAGTAAAACAAAGGATAAACTTCGACTACTGTTGAATAGACCAGGGAGAAGAATGAACCGGACGTTAGGTGAACCTAACTATTCTTGTTAAATATTTTATAAAAACAGTTTTAAGTAAAGTGCTCAATATCAGTGATAGAGTATATGTAAATATAAAAGTGGACATTCATGGCAACACTCAGAGGCGACAGTCTGTTTCATGCTTGAACATAATTGCGTTAGCGCATGAAACCGCTCTGTGTCCACTTTTATATTTATATACGTTCCGTCTCATTATATATATATATATATATATATATATATATATATATATATATATATATATATATATATATATATATCTCGAAGAAGGAGAGACAGGGAGAACGTGGAGGAGACAGTGGCAGAGACGGGGAGAACGTGGAGGAGACAGTGGGGGAGAACGGGGAGGAGACAGTGGGGAGAACAGGGGAGGAGACAGTGGGGAGAACAGGGGAGGAGACAGTGGGGGGGAGAACGGGGAGGAGACAGTGGCAGAGACAGGGGAACAGGGAGGATACAGGGAGAACAGGGAGGATGGGGGAGAGACAGGGAGAACAGGGAGGATAGAGGGGAGGAGACAGGGAGGATAGGGGAGGAGACGGGGAGAGACAGGGAGGAGACGGGGGAGAGACAGGGAGGAGACGGGGGAGAGACAGGGAGGAGACGGGGAGAGACAGGGAGGAGACAGGGAGACAGGGAGGAGACAGGGAGACAGGGAGGAGACGGGGAGAGACAGGGGAGGAGACAGGAGAGACAGGGAGGAGACGGGGGAGGAGACGGGGAGAGACAGGGAGGAGACAGGGAGACAGGGAGGAGACAGGGAGAACGGGGAGGAGACAGGGAGAACGGGGAGGAGACAGGGAGAACGGGGAGGAGACTGGGAGACACGAGGAGAAATTTTTGTGTGTGTGAAGAAAAGACAAATTGAAAAAAATGATATTCATCGACGTATTCCGCCCCTTTGTAATAAACATTCTCAAGCTAGAATGAGAGACATACCCGCATGCGAAAAAAAAAAGTGCCTTAAAATATTTGGAAAGGGTAATAAAGATCCTTATCAGACGTTGCAAACATAATTGATTTTCCAACTGAAGACACTGCTGAAGTTTGCTGGATTTGAAATTTTGCCCACATCAATAGATATGTAGCATGAATTTACATTTTTTTTTTCTTTTTAGATTTATTTTAAACAAAATCTCCATCCTTGTCAATGCACTTACGCCATCGCTTGCCATTAATTACATATAGAATAATACGGCGTGATACGTTTTGGCACAGCCATTTAGTCGTCAACTTATTTGGCACCAAATTTCGGACGCTAGAAAAAAAATGTTGGAAAACGGAGATGCAGATAAAATACATTAAACTCTTCTTAGACATGGATACTATCGCGTTCTTGAGAAGTCTTGCTCATAATTAACAAATTAACTGATTTAATGTTTTTTTAATTTTTCAATAATATTACAGTTTTAAAACTTTGAAAAATTCTACCTTTGAATTAATCAACATTTTTTTTCCTAGCGTCCAAACGTTTGAGGTGCAAACATAAATATAAATTATAGAGTAAGCTAAATGACGTAATTTAATGTCTAAGAAACAAAGGATGACGTTGTTGCTCTTTTGATTATTAAACATTAAAATAGTATTTATCAATCCACCCACGAGAATAGAATGTGGCACAAGGCCGGTTTAATGTGGGTATCCCCGAGCCCGTAGGCTCGGCCAAAAAATATAGCCTTTTTGAACCCGCCTAGACGGATTCAGGCCCTATCTACCTCCCCGAACGAAACCTTGCCCTTCGGCAAAGCTTCGTCCGGGTTCCTCTCTGCTAATGCAGAGAGTTCGACAGACGCCGACTCGGAAGCTCACAAAGGCAGCGTACTACACTTTGATCACAGCCCCCGGGCCGAGCAGGGGGTTAGGGTTAAAATACGTCCCTTAGCATCCGCCATAATTTATATATACCTTTCAGTTAGTCTAATTAATATTTATAAGCATTTCTTAAATTTAAAAAATGTTTTTACTTTTGTTTATGAATACGTCTTTCAAGATAAAATCTTCACATTTGACTTGATAACGTCCATCAGAAGACAAAAGGCGTCGTCTAAGTTTTCCCTATATATATATATATATATATATATATATATATATATATAATGGACTCTCCCGTCGGTTTCGACGTATGAGGATCTGACAGCTTAATTGATTCAGTTATGAAATTTTGTGAGATAATCTTAAGTGGCACTTAAGAAATAAGAATGAATGAATCAAGAGAAACCACCAGAAAACCCACACAAGTGATTTGATTAAAGTGGTGAAGGCCTGTGCAGAACCATCCACACTTTTTATATATATATATATATATATATATATATATATATATATTAGTGTGTGTCTGTGTAAGGTATTGTCTTTGTACTGAGTGCATCTTCGGCTACTGCGAGAGCACACGATTAAAGAACCCAGTGCGAATCCAACTCACATCAGTAATATTCGCCACTCGGGTTAACTTGCTAAAAATTACTCCCCGGTGATATAAGCTAGCTATTTATTAAGCAAGAGTTTACCCAGAGGATTAGCTATGAGGATCAAAAAAAATTTTAAAAATTAAAATAAAAGCACCTTTGCCAAAATCTAATAGGGATGAAAATCGTCAATAATTTTGACCGGTTGATTTTACTGTTTTTTTGTTTTGTTTTTCTTTTCTTTTTCTGGATAATATTATTATTGAAAGTTTTGTGCAAAATGTGAAATGCTGCAGCAACACCAAGAATATCAAGAAGAATCAAACAGAGAAAGCAATTGTAAACGACATCACATCGAGTTAAACATGGCGAATGGCGAACAGCCATTTGTCTTTGCAATGAACCGCTTGTTTTAAGAGAAAATAAGTGATTTCTCGCTATTCATACCCGAGTGTTTTGATTATTACTACTTTTGAACGGATTGTGTTTTTTTTTGTTGTTGTTGTAAAAGCTATAGCCTAGAAAGCTTGTTTTTCATCGTTAACCAATAATTTTTATCTTTGTGACAGTGAAATATCTTGTAAAAAACTCAAAAACCTAGAAATAATTTTCTTTAATCTAATGATTACTGGTGACTTTGTTTTTTTTTTTTTCAATTACTTACAAATTTACATGGGCACCTCGAGGTGGTGTAATGGTTAGCAAGCTTGTCTCGCTAAAACAATTACGAATGAGTAGTGAGTTCGATACTCACTGGGTGCCCCTTACTTTCGGCCTTGTGCCACATCTGAGCTACGCTTGGAAAATCACTACTTACAAATTTACATTGCTAACCATCAATTTTAAGAAGACAGAATATATAATTGTGAGCAAGAGTAACAGCCCAAAACGCGAACTGCTGGGAGTTTAACACTTTTGGGTGTGAATCAAAATTATCATCGGGCTAATAGAAGGAAATCCTTGTATCTACGTTTGAAAACTTATACAAAAAGCATTATTTACACTATTATCCTCATCTTTGTTGTTATTGTCACAACGTTTCGATCACTGTTTTCTCGTTCCCTTGCCCATGTCTAGGTATATTGTCTAGGACTAGACGAGATATCCCTAGACAGGGGCAATGGAACGAGAACAGTCAGCCCCCGGAGATTAAGTAAAGGGTTCAGTTCAGAATTCCCTATAGGTTACCCAGACGGATATACACCTGAGGAAGACCGGTGGGCGCAACAATCGAAACGTTCTGATAATAACAAGAAACTTATAGTCCAAATATAGTGTAAATGATGATAACTCCTCATCCCAGAAATTCAGACAGAAATTATACAAAAGCATTTGATAAGGTACGATACGTAAACTTAGTTCAACTACTGGGAAAGCTCAATTTATATTGTAAACGTAGGTATGCCGCCCATTTTAGACTTGGTTCTAGAACCGTGTTGTTTTTCTTCCTATAATAACATGGCTAAATTGAGTATAATGATTCAAGTAATACAAATTTGAAACTCATGGCAGTATAAAAGTATTGTTACCATTGCCGAATTTAGATAATTTTATCGGACTAAGATAGTGTTGGACAATCTCCTCAGAGATCAAGAGGAGACTTGAATCAACAGAAATTTGGTTCTACAGAAGGATGCTGAGGATATCGTGGGTCGAACGTGTAAGCAACGCCGAAGAAAATAGAAACAAAAAGGAAACTAATACTTAGCATTAAAAAAAGTCACTTTCTGAGGCATATGAGAAAGGAGGGTGTGGAAAATTTAATACTCACAGAACAGATAGAGGGTAAGGGGAACAGAGGAAAACAATGCGTAACATTTGATGGGTTTGAGTAAATGGATGGTAGAAAAGGGTTTGGGGAAAATAATAGAAAGACAAACACTTAAGAACTACAAGAGACAGGAAGATGTGGAGGGCCATGATCACCCATGTCCTGAAAGGACACGGAACATAAAAGAAGGTATTGGAATGCCATTTTCCGATTTTTTCCATGGATTTCTATTCTTTATTTTACGTGAATTGCTATGATCTTGTAAAGGATAATGGAATTTCGAATTCACTACAGGTCTTTACCTAGACTGGCCACCAACTAAGGCTGAAGGGACCAATACACAAGGCTATTTTAACTATAGATGGAAAGAGGAGGAAATGGATTCATGCCTTTCCGAGGGGGGGGGTTGAACTGCTAGTAGAAATATTTCCATAAGAAATAAATCATTCCTTGGAACTACAATTTTTCTTTCATTTAATTACTTCTTTCCATTGGACATGATGATTTCGTCATCCTAAAATGTCACATCTCATTAAATATCGTTAAAACTTGATCCCATTGTGTTGATTTTGGGATTAACAAAACGTTTAGGATAATCGGAACATTTTGGCAGCACGATGGACCAAAAAAAAAAAAAAAAAAAAAAAAAAAAGTAATGCGTTCAATCGCTCGAATAATTCTTAAAATTGCTGATAAATTTTGCGTTTGGACGGATTTTTATTCCCGATTCAAAATGCATAGCTGGCCACTCCACTTGTATTCGAGAATACCCGTCTACTAAGGCGGCCAGCCAATCTCTATTGCAGACGCTTGCTCAGGCGCATTTTTATGTCTATTCAACACTGTGGTTTATACTGCAACTATGATGAGCAGACCTTAGTTACAGTTTCTGGAAAAGAGCGTGTTATCTAGCGTGATCAACAATTAGAGCAAGGCCAGCACGTTCAAGCCTTCAGCCACGATGACTTATGACTTCGTACGAGCACACCAACCTACCCAATTTCACTCACAAATTTTGGTATGGTTTTCAGGCACTTTCAAAAAAGGTGCCGCGCGCTGGGATCTACCCCCCTCCAGTTCGATAACATCAGAAAGTCTCCTTTCTGACAAATCAACCATGGTGAGATTCGAACCCGGGTCTCTTGGTCAGAATGCGAGCGTTCTATCACTCGGCCACGTGCCTATAAAATATATGATTTTTGTCTGCAATGGCCTATGACAATATTTTCATAGTCTAAGAGTTCGTAATAGGCTGAACGTAAAATACTCTACCATCTGCTCACCAAAGCATAGGAATTTTTATTCAGAATTCCAAACGTTTTCAGCAATAAATAATAATTATTACCACGGTAGGCTTTTTCCATTGTGTACTAACAGACGACAGAAAAAAGTGACACGGAAATCCGATTGTCCATCAAAAGAGCGAAAGATGCTTTGCAGAAAGTTAAAGTTTACCAAACAATGAAAACTACACCACTTGAATATTTCAGCACAAAAACCATGGAAAAAAAACTCCAGGAAATATTAGAAAGACGTATAACATTTAATGGACATGACAAGTCTAATGTACGAAGTTTTTTTTTTATTTTATAAAAACAATTTTATAAAAGTTCAATCGACAGTAAAACTAACTGATCGGGTAATGAATACAAAATGTATCCTTTAGGGAAATGACTAATTTTGCAATTTTAATATCGAAGATAAGTCTTCTAAGACAAAACGTCTATTCGACACAAGTCCGATGTCACAATATTGCATATAAACCCTTCTGCAAATTAATTGAAACAAAACGAATAATTCCGTTATTACTTATTTTTCGTATTTTCCCAATAAAACAGGACCTATGCCCATTCCACGAAGTCTTTCCTTGCAGACTAACCACAAATTCTCGATTGGATTTAAATCAGGAGAGTTTCCGGGTCAGTCTATACAATTTTCATTTGCTCACTGATAAGGCATGCTAGTGTGTTTCAGCAGCGTTACAATTTTCGTACGTTTCCTTGGAGTAACTTCCATTGCAGACAATAGGACAACTAATCGACAGTCGAGAAAATAGTGTCCGAGCGTAATGAAAATCTGATGCAATCATGGATGACGCAATATTTTTCAGGGCCAAAGAAATTTCATTATACACCCCCAAAAATAGATTCATATTGCTGCATCTCACTGCAAATGACCGGATCTGAGGAAAAAATAGAAATCGATCACACCCTGTCGCTCCAGTGGGTCTAAAACTGACCGTATGGTGAAAGGGAGGAAATTAAAGCGGTTATTTCAATCAATTTGCACAAGTAAAACACTAACCTTCCCAAGAAAATTAAATTTCGGCATTAAGGATTTGATGAGAACAAACCAAAGCAAGGAATAGCGAAAGTTGCCTTTCAGAAGTGAAGCAAGTATTAAGAAAACGTTTCGTTTGAAACAAGGAAAAAGAGTGTTGAACTAATCGCTTATATGGCCGTGAATGCTGAGCACTCTTTAAACAAACGAATAGGAGACAAGTGAGAGAGATGTGGTCTTACCAACGAACGCTAAGTTACCATGGACAGAACTTGTGAAAATTGGAGAGGAATTTAAGGAAAACAAACTCTAAGAAAAAGTATACCTTAATTCCCCATGTATGATACGCATTATTTCTATAAAAAAAAAAATAAGCAAAATTAGGGGTGCTACAAAAATATCTTTAAAAAATTGCCGTTTCATAGGTCGATTTCAGTTGCAAAATGACTACTCAACACAAACATACGACAATTTGACGCTAACATTCGGCGATTGCGACCCCATAAGGATGTAAAATACAATCATATTTACCTAACAATACTTACAAATGTAAAATAAAATAATTATCATAAAACTAAGTTTAATATTATTCTATGTTTAAAATCATTTTTCATAAGAATAGGAGACGCTGGCCGTAATAAAATTGCAGAGGTACAATTTATAGGGTTTAATTACCAGACAAAGGGGGCGTATTATGCGTGAGTAGAAGCAATTTTCCACACTTTCAGCACAATTTTAGGGGTGCGTATTATAGATGAAGGCGTGTTATACATGGGGAATTACAGTATCTACAATTAGAGAAAAATCAAATTTCTCGGATACATAATAGTGGCGGGCGATCGAATTTAACATTCACAAGGTATATTAAAAACAATAGATTGAAGGGAAATAGCCTGTAATCTACTAAACGAATTTGTAAGAAGGGATAGCCGGAATGATTAGTTGATATGTTGATTCGTTTTTTCCGACTTATCAACCCTTTGCAGGTTATTTAAACCTAGAAAAAAATTTAAAATTTTTTTTTAGATATTAATGATTTAGTAAGACAAGTTGTACTAATTAACCCATAGCTGGGGGTAGAAGAGGTGGATTCACACTTTTCTCAAGGGCATTTGCGCATAAGCTAATATAAGGAACCCAAATAGAACAATTTAATTTTACTAATTAATCCATAGCTGGGGGGAGAAGAGGAGGATTCATACCTATTTGAAGGGTATTTACGCATAAGTGAATATAAGGAACCCAATAAGAACTGAAACAATTTTACTAATTAACCCATAGCTGAGGGAGAAGAGGAGGATTCATACCTATCTCGAGGATATTTGCGCATAAGTGA